GGCTGCTTTCTATTTATAGTTGGATATTATAGACATCCATATCTTCCTAATCACGACCAGATCAAAATGCATTCTCTGCTGATTTTTAGTTTTCCAAATTTGGACATTTTTAGATTACTAACATGAAATTACCTTGAAGCACATAAATATTTAAGCAGGGATAGTTTACCTTTTCTGGTGGGTGTATAATAAACAGTTTAACCATCATCTATACACAGGCTGTTTTGTTCTCTATCTAAAGAGACAATCACCTTTTATCCTTTTCCCTTTTTTTCTTCGTTTTAGTGCTATTAGGAAACTATTCACAAGTGCAACCCTGAACAATACTATGCAGTAATTATGACTAAATGACAAAGAGATGCGAACAATTACCGAGTCCATTTTGAAACCCTACACTAATAAAGTCATTAGATGCTGCCCTTGCCATGAGCCTTCTAAAAGCTTCTGAAGTTACAAGAACACACGGCATTGTTCGTTAGGACAATTGCTGCTGGCAGAATGCAAACCTTGAGTTAAACCATGCTGCAAATTGATCTTGACATTCTGTTAAGAGCGCCACTAAAATCAAAAGCAAAGGAGAAAAGGAGAAAATGAGCGGGTGGGATGTAATCATGGAACAGAAGGGTTCCCTCCTCACCTTCTTTCCTCTTCCTCCTCAAAACAAACCATACAGAAAATGACAAACTCGCCTGGTGTTTGAGAACCTTTATTTTTAAAACATTAATTAGACTTCTGACCTGTTTTTATTGACTGGCACTGTATTGCTATTAAAGTAAATTAAATAAAAAATTGCAGAATACAATAGAAGAGGTTTTCACACTCTTCTGTGAAACCTGTTAAGGATTTAGTGCCTAAAGAACACGTCCAACAGTTTTGCAAGCAACATATACAGAATCTGTGGTCACTCCTAAAGAGGCAGTGAGAAATTAACTCATCTCCTCTTGCTCTCACAGACCCCACACCTGCAATATATTTGCTGAAGGATCAAATGGGATTGGGGAGCTGGAGTAATATGGTCAACTGGTCTTCATCCAGGCATGCATCATTCAGTAGGTTAGAATTAAGGGTCAGCAACTGTGAATATGGCTAATCACTTGATGACGGAAATTGCAGGTGAAGACAACCTGCTGCTGAGAAGCACTTTAGGGAATTAACTCTTTCCTAAGCTTCAGCAAAGCGAAAACCTATCATTTGAACATTAAAACTAACAAGTACCTGTCATCAGAGCAAAACTGGCAACACCCTGAAATACAGTGCCCAAGGGCAATGATATCAAAAGCTAAAAAGCTGCTACAGATTTTTGAGTCACTGTCTTATGGTTTTGGCTTTGCTTGGCAAACGCTTTGTGTGCTGGAAAGCTCTTAATACTATGCATTATCTGTGTGTACAAATATAACATATGTGTGCCATGTGTGTGTATATTTATCACTGTACATCTTTCCCGGATACAAACATATCAATGCACCTTAGTGAATCAACAAAACCAGTTAGGTATGTGTTTGCATAAACATATACAACTCTCATGCACATAATTGTATTAGAACAATGGTATTGACTCAATTCTTTGAAGTCAAAAAGTGCCAGAACTAGAGCTGCTCATGTCTGGCTCCCCTGCTTATCTATTGCAGAATCCCTCTGGAAACCTGAGGAATAGCTCAGCCCAAGTGATGACTCAATGCAGGCCTGTGCTTGGGCCAAATGGCAGGGCCAGGATTGCCAGCAGATTGCAAACAGGAAGAGATGACAAGAATATTTCAAAGAGTGACTTCCTAAGCTGAAGTCTAAACTATAGGAGATAAAGATTTCATGCATGTTCCTTAACAGTACAATAAAAGCACCACATTCTTTTCCTAAATGAAGATACTATTTATATTTTCCCTTTACTACAATTTTATTATGATTAATGAAAAAATTCATCATCACAGAACTTACTCAAAGTAACAGCTCTCTTCACAGCAAGCCTGATGTCAGAGGCAATTAAAACCCATGGAAGCCAAAACAAAGCTTCCCCTCAACTGTATTAACTAGACTTTGCCTTCATTTTGACAAAGTAACAGTCCTGCATGGCTGCAGAAATAAATTTTTTAGTATCTGACTCCCAAAGTTGTAATGCTTATGGTCTTGCAGTACAGCTGGCAGGTACCCAGTGCTCACACAGCATTTTACTCCTGCCTACAGACTCTCTTGAGTCTGTTGGAATGGATATTGAAGACTGAGAGATTATAGAAAAAATGTGCTATTGTACAGTAATGCAGGTTTTAAAGCACATTTCTGTATCAGTGTCAGCCGAGATACACATTAAAAACTGGGGACAACTACAAGATTTTGGAGCTGTTTTTGTTCTACAGTGTTCAGGATGGACCCTCATTTCATAAATGAGAAAATTGGAGTATTAGGACTAATTTTGGAACAGGATTACATTTGTAAATCAGAAATGCAGAAGATTTTTTTGGGAGTTATATAAGTCTTTATACCTGTTTGAATTTATTGATGCCATTGCACAGTACTGAAACCATGTCTTTTACTACTGACATTGAGATGTCCCTGTTGACTGCTGTAAATCAAATGGACCTGATTCCTCTGCTGTCCCACCCTGGCTTTTCCAGCATTTTTACAATGCAATTCTAAGAGTGGAAATGAGTTACACCAGCAGGCAAGACCCAGCTCCTCCTGTTGTTGCTGTTGTCTCCTCACCATTCAAATAAAAAGCTCCATTTTACTGTGTTCATAGGGATACAGAACAGAACGGGCTCCAAGACCACTGTCACTGTGTCACATGAAGGGCAGTGACCGAACAGAGGGACTGAGTATTTATTTATGGGAATGCCCACAGTGCATTGGCACTTTCCAAAGGGAGAAGGAAGCATCGTGCCCCCTCTGAAGAAATCACAGTCTAAGGAGCAGGATGTGACACTAAACACAACTGAGAAATTATTCTAATTCGAGCCAGCATGCCTTGTTTACCCCTTACTATTTTTTGACCTCACTGTTAATATGACAGTTTCTTTGTTGCTGTTAGCAGAAAGCAAAAAAATGAAGGCTTAAAAACCCTATCGTCCAGCACAATCGGGGACTAAGTTCATTGAGAGCAGCTATAAAGCCTTAAACAAGCCCTTTATTTTGTGTTTTAAGAAGTGTCATAAGGAGTTAATAGGACACAGCTGTACAGGCTCTTTCTAACAAGCAGCTTCTGTCGCTTTGGTCACCACAGGTGTCTGTGTAACCTGCAAACTCTTATTACTAGTGTATCAAAGTTGTGCTACTTAATAGATTTCTTTAGTAAAACACAACAAAGCAATTACATGGCTGTTGATCGTTAGTCATAAAAAACCCCTCAAACACAGTTTTTCAAAAGAAACTACACTGCAATTTTTTGTCATTGTAAAATAAAAGAAACTAGAGAATTAAATAGAAAAGCAGACAATAGAACAGCAGGTAGTCAACTGAACTTAGCCACTACAGATGGTTTAGAAATAGTGTTTCCTTCCACACCAACTTGTGGGATAAAAGAAAAGGAGGAGGCTCCTTACTGCCCATGAATGGCAATACCAAAAGACTTAAGCAACTTTCCAGTCTATGTATTTGGTCCCATGAAAGAACCTAGATGTTTCTTTTTCCTCTCTTATTTTTTTCTTTTTCAGAAACTTTTAATCTGTTTTTACAACTGCTTTTTTCCATAAGCTTTTACACTTCTCTAGAATAACTTAAACCAGAAACATTGCTGCTGACCCCTCCAATGACAAAATGCAGAAGGTCAAGTGAGGAATTCCTGAGAAATACAAGTGTCATTTAAAAAGCATATTAGAAAAAGAGACTGTTCTATTCTCCAAGCTCACCTCAGTAAAGAAATATTAACTATAATTTACATAGTGAAGACTAGAAATACATAAATGCTCTATTCTAATAATCCACAAGAGAAAGAAACATATATGTATCATTTTCCTTTTTCAATAATTGTGGAATTGTGTAAAGAAGTGGCAATCCTATTCGGGGCCAAATGACTGTTGCATCTTTCAATCAAAAATTGGTATAACTCTAATTATAGTAAGATACATAATATGTTATCCTGGTTAGACATGATCAGTCATCTTCTGGTAAATAAAGGTTATGAAATCAGGTTCACATTAGAGACCCAAACAAGTCTGATTTCTAAATGCTAAAATAATAATAATAATAATAATAATAATAATAATAATAATAATAACAATAATAATAATAATAATATCATTCTGTTCAGTAGATCATGATCAACTGATAAATAACTAAAGAAGAGAGAGGTCTTAGTATAACACTAAGAAAATTTGTTGGTAATCTACAAAAGTTGTAGGAGGTGGAATCTACAGCTTTAATTTCTTTAGTCATCAGCAAAATTATGGTCTCTGTGAGACATAAGATAGCTTTTATTATATTAACACCTTTATTATATTAAAACCAAAATATCTGAACATTCCCAAAGGAACGTTATGTAAGAAAACTCTAGTTCAAAAAAGTTCATATGAATTGCAAGTGTTTAACATTTTGTATAATCTGTTCTTAACGCTAATTTATCATATGAATGTTATTTTAAAATAAGATTTTCATTAAGTACAATAGTTATTGCCACAGACAGCTCTCATGCAGTTACACCAACATATACACAATTAATGCCATGTAATATTATGGCACTGCAATGCACAACTGTGAAGGCACATGTCTGAATATGGAATCATGTTTGAAAATAAACTGGGAAAAAAAAAGAAAAAAAGGAAATAATTTCTTCAATTACTTTTCCCTCATTTCTTTAAATATTTTTTCCTGCACAGGAATAAGAAATTACTTTGTGATGAACACAAGGCCAGTCCAATTCTCAATGAATGTCAGCCAGCACAGCTTCATTGATCAGATGAGAAGGAGCATGAAGTTTTAGCTCAAATAGACATTAAGCACAAAAAGATTTGATAGGCAGAGCTAAGGGCCTTCCCTAAGAAAAGCTGCTCCACTCAGAGTCCAAAGAGTCTTACCTTGCTCTGTTTGCTTCTTTTGTCATGTCCCATGCCCAGGTTATGAAGTTCTGACTCAGGTAGGAGACAATAGATTCAGCACAAAGCATTTGTGAGCAGAAGACGTTGGTTAGTACACTTTCATCATGGTGGAGGTAGATAGCAAGAAGCTTTCTCTGGAAAAAATGTGACAAGAGATGAGTGGAAAGTTCATCAGACAATTTAGCAATTTAAAGTTGCTGCTGCAGATCCGTGTGTTAGTACCCATGATGGGGTTCATCAAGGGCAACAAGTATCTCAACATGCACACACAAGAAATAATCAGCAGATTTCAAGTCAAATGGTCCATCCCTGCAAATTTTTATATATTCTTAATGATTCCTAATGTTCTGAATACTAAAATATAATATATGTTTAGAACGTGAAAAGAACAATGAATGAAAAACAAAAACCTTATTAACAGACCTAAGAAATGACTGAATTTTTTTAGCTTGTTGCCTAACAAAAATAACATTTCCCTGAACAAGGAACACACTTCTTGATTGGACAGCATCTACCACAAAAAACAATTATAAACAACCTGAAAAAAATGACAGTGCATTGCTATCACCACCTCTGTAGCCAAATAAAGAGGCACTACATGTTGAGATGGTGTCTATGGTCTCTTGAAACAAAATATTCTGTGCTGTTCTTCTGGAACCCCATCAAATAAAACTTCAGCTTCACTGCCAGCAGCTGCGTCCCCATGAAAATCTCAGACCACTTTTTGGAAAGCAAGACTGTGTGCATGGAAATATAGAAAGCAGACTGCAAAAATACAGGGAGACTATGAACTAGCTAAGGACTGTGATTTTGCAACTGGCATTCAATGAATTATAAATATAATTCAGAAAATTACAGCTTTCCATTCCTCCATACCCATATAAATTACTCACTTTATTTTAAAATAGCACTTGAACATATTTGCTGAGATGATATGGTGCTATTTTCAGACTTTTATTTAAAGTAATTTCAAATCTCTTCATCAGAAGTAACACTGAACCCTAGATATTGATGTGTATTGATATAGCAAGATATGGGATGCAATTTCCAGCAAGCTGTCTTTGCAAAAAAAACCCTGTAGGGCTCTCGCCTCATATACTGGCTTTGGATAAAATTTAATGACTATTTATAAAAGGAACATTTGAACATTCGACTTTGGGAAAGGGATTAGTAATTTGCATTACTGTTTGTCTAATTTAATTTAAATGTTCCTCAGAACCACGTACACATGTGCCAGGAAGGGCCATTAATAAGCCCAACATGCAGAGATCCATATAAGTGCAGCCAACAATGTTGACTGAAACTAAACTTGAAAATCCAGGGCACTGATGCACAATATCATGCAATAAAACAGCATTTCTGTGGTGATATTTAATTTAAAAAGAAGAAAGAGGCAGGGGAAGATCAGGCACTGTCTGTTTTTGAGGATCAGCCGTTCTGCATTTCAAAGCGTCGATCCCTGCAATATCCAGGTTACTGTGCTAGAATCTCGACTATTATATAGCAGTTGTAAGAGAGGGAGGGCAAAGATGTGTTTACTCAGTGATTAGGGCCTTAGAAAAAGCCTCTAGCTCCTAGAGAGACAGCTCACCACTTATTCATTTGGACCAATTCACAAAGCCTAGAAAGATTAAACATCCATGCTGAGAAGACAAGCGAATGCAGACGGTGAAAAAGAAATAAAAATTCTTTAAAAACTCTGAGATGACTTCATTATTTTTTCCACAAGGAAACTTTAGGAAAGTGTTTAGTTAGAGAAAAACCCACATTGACCTCTCTCTAAACCCTTAATCTTTCCTTTGTGGTGGCACTGCTTTGTGGTAAGCGGATGGCTTTGCTCTCCTCTTTTCACTGGGAGCGGACAGAAAAAAAGGCTCTTGAGAAACACTTTTACTTCCAAAGAAACAACCCCATGAAACTGTTAAATATGAGATTCCCTACAACAGAATGTTTCAAAATATGTACAGTTTTAGGCTTAAAGATTTAGGGATAAATTTTAGTAAACAGAACAGACACAAACACAATGGAGGTTTACACTGAGTTACTTCCCAAGGGAATGTAATTTTTGTTGCATCAACAAATCTCACCATGCAAACACAAAACTCCATCACATATAAAAGACTGTACTTGTATCTGATACTCCATCCAAAATGTTAAGGGTGGGCACAGGCATACTGCTATGGTAAATGCAAAAGAGGCAGCAGGAAGAACTGAAGTGCTAAAACATGATTTTGAAAAATATTTGTGAAAGCCAGGGACATTTTTTCCTTGGAAAAATGCATGATTGCAAAAGGCTCACAGCTTGAAGTTTGTTGTTGTTGCTGTTGTTGTGTGGGTTTGTTTTCAGGTTTGTTTATTTTACTAACCCATGGTAGCACATATTTATAAGCAAGTTTTGGTTGTGTTTATTTCAAGCCTTTGAAAAGTCAGAGTAAATTCTAGGATTCTATTATGACTAATACTGAGTATTTCAAATTCAATACTATTAAAACAGCCTTACAAAACGTTGAACAGTCTCAAATTCCACAAAAAAAGCCTACTAATGGAGCACTAGACTGTTCTGTGTTGGATTTTTCAACAATATGACTCAGATGTTAGCATGAAATTTTAATCAAGGAAAAAAATATACAACAGGGAAAAACTTTCACGAGTCCCTACAGTGGTACAGGATACCAGAAAGGTTTTAAGCACTGAATACCTGATGGAATTCCAAAGGCCTTTGGATGTGAGGAACTTAATCCACCAAGGGAAGCATTTTTCAGAGTACATGCATGCTGAAGACCAGGCACTTTAAAGCTTCAGAGAAGTTAACACACTTTGTACAGAATTAAAAGGAAAGTTGTCACTGATGTAAAATTGAAGGAAAAGTTGTCATGGAGGCAAAGAACCCATAGATCTTGAGGTGACAAAATTAGCATCAGTGGGTAGTGGGATTTCTAAGCTTCTCAGCCAGCTCTTAATACTGTGAATTACTCAGATAACTCAAAAGAATATGAACTTGAATGGGAATAGCAATGCAATCACAAGGGTCAGCAAAACCACAGACCTGAATGGCTATTTTTGAATCTCAGGTATACACATCTGAGTCATGACTGAGACAGAAAAGTTCTTCATGTATCAGCTCCTAGAGGCAACTGTCCAACTGGTAGGCTAACAAATCATAATCTAATTTTTTCCTCCAGGTTTTATGCAGTGAGAACTAATTCAAATAAACAAAGGGATGCATTTGAACTTCTTTAAATGTTTGAAGTGCACAATCTGATCCATCTGTCTAAAGTGATCTTGGAGCTCATGGGATCAGCCTTGGACACAGCTATTTTATCTAGCCTTGTAGAAGAGATCTGAAAAAAAACTGTACCCCACAGATTCCTGAAGTAGGAATGAGGTGATCCCGTTAACTTCTGATCCCACATTTTGTAATAAACATGGCATAAGACATCCCCAAACTAGCTCCTAGTTTAATCTTCCTGTAATTTTACCTTTCAGTAAAACATCTCATCTCAAAAACCCATCAGTGATGAAGAATCCACAGGAACCATGGCAAGGTGTTCAAACAGCTACCCACTCTCCCAGGTAAAGGTGTGGTAAAGCCTGATTTAGTCTACTTTCATCTTCCAACTATTTGATCCTATTATACTGTTGTATCTCCATTTCAATCAACCGCACCTGTAGTGATATCTTACATAATGCAAATAGTATCCAGTAATTAATGCTAAACACAGGTAAGATCTGTAATCACAGGCTTTGAAAGAAAAGAAGATGTAGAGTGAGACAGAGAAGTTCAAAAAACATCCATTATTTAGTATCAAATACAGAGGGGGCTGAGGAGAGACCCATACCCAGGAGCATTTCTCTCCAGATGGGAAAGATCAAGCCACTCTTTAGATAAGAAAAATGAAGGGTGTGCAGGCAAACAGTGAAGCTACTAAACTGGTATGTTGTAGCAGGAATTTCTAAACAAGTTATCCACAATTCAGAAATAATTTACAAATTAAAGGACAGAACTGCTAACACACATCAGGCAAGACTGGAAAGAAAATGGTGACTGACATGAGACTTAACTGGAGCTTATGTACTGATATTTACTATATCAGTTAATATTTCTTTTTTCTTGGTTAAAATTTCATGCTAAATATATAACCTCTGAGTCATATTGTTGAAAAATAGTGCAGCTACTTCACTCTTCCTGAAAACCTAGAATCATACTTCTATACCTGTCCTCCAGCTTCAACCAGACCATGTCCATTAGTGGTCAAGTTATTTATGTTTAATCAGAATCTGTAAAGTGGTAAATTCCTCCACCAGCTGTAATCTGTAATAAATTCAGTATAAACTTAATTAACTGAAATAATAAGAGACATTTTTCCGAGTTACACAGATAAAAATGATGCTACAGAAAGCCCTCTATGAAGGAATATTCTGCTACCACCAAGGAAAAGGGGGGAAAAAAAGCTTTTATTTGAACATGCCAAATCATGGAAGGAGCATACTTTGCTCTAGGTATTCAGGAAATAAAGAACCTATATGTGAGAGGGATGGTGCTGCCTCTAAATTGAACCTAAAATACTGAATTCAAGGAGAAGAAAAACACGGTTCATTTTCAGAATGCAGGAATATATATTGAGGTGACAATACCAATCTGTGCTAAGAGAGATGTTTCACATATTTATTAAAAGTCAGTGGACAGAAAGGTTGAGAGAGGAGCAGGAGGTGAGCTGACAGAGGTATATAAAAATAAGAGCTCCTGAAAAGGCAAAGGCAATGTCTTTATTCTTTCTCTAAATAAAAGAATAGCAACCACCTATAAAAATGGAAAGACAAACAAGCTCTAATAAAAGAAAATACTTGAGTATTGCTCACATATATAACTCAGTAAGCTTCAATATAGCAATTAAAATCCAGTATAAATAACAATACCACCATAAGTTAGGATAAACCCTCTGATGTCTCAGAACACAAGACACCCACAAACTGCTTTCAGACACAAAGACACTTCTCCCAAACACCTGGTTAAAAAAATGTCTATTATAGGATTTCTTCCATGGCATCAGGTATAGCAATTGCTATGGCAGTGAAGCTCTGTAGGAAGAGTAAGCTCATTCTTCAGAAACTTAGTGACAGGGAAACTCTTCTTTCCAATAGACAGAGGAAGACTTCCACAAAAACCAGCTTAATTGTTAATTTAATAAATCTGTGCCTCTCTTTCTCTTCCTGACCCCATTAAAAGAAATACTGAAAATATTTTCTTGTCATATATACAATAAGCCTTGGGAGTGAATACACAACACCCTTAACTATCAGGTTGCTGGAGGCACCTGGGAATTTCATGGCCAAGGACACTGGTTGTTAAAAGCAAGGCTCGATATCTTGGGTATTGTATTTTTGTGGCAAACAGTTACACAGGTTTTAAAGCAGAGCTATATTGGACCTCATTCCACCTCTCCTACCAAAAACTGACATTGTTGTGGCAGCAGTTGCTCCAAAGGTTAAAAGATACCCATCATGTAAGTTAATCTTCACTGGCTACACAACTCAAACACAGCACATAAACACCTCAATCTTTTTTACAAGGTATTTCTTCTTCAAGCAACATTTCGTTAAGTAACTATGAATTACCATCCTTTTCAACACATGAAAAGACAATAAGATTTAACAGGAAACATCTATTTTCATAAAAAGAAATTGAATTCATATTCTGCATTCAAAACACGTGTTCTGACATTAGTTAATTTTCTTAACCCAAGTTTAAAAAGATTCTGGAAAAAAAGCTTGATGTTTATATACACTGGGATTTTTTTTTTTTTTTGAGGTAAAAAGTATCCACAACACAGATTTAAAACACAGCTGATGGCTGTCTCACTAGACATGAACTGTAGAGTGCACCTTCTGCTCTGGACAGCATTGAGAATTTGTCAAGAAAAGGCCAAGATCTCTGAGCACTCAAGCTGCCAAGTGCTCTCAAATTAAATCAGTTTGAAGCGGTTTTCATTAAGATGGATTGAGTGTGGCATCGTGAGAAACACTCTATCAAATGTAGTGTTTTACTTAGTGATTAAGTATATACCAGTTGATGAAGCTGCCCAAATCCTTCGTAATCCCACCACTCCAATAAACATTTAATGAGTATATAAGTTCAAAAAGCCTAGTAGAGGATTTAAACCTTCAATCTTGTTTTTATTTACTCTTGGAACTCAATTTCTCACTTCAAGTGAAGAATGCTGGTGCCTGAAGCTCATCTGTTGCCCTGGTAAAATTAAGTGCCCTCCATAGTATAAATTAGAAGACAAGACACACACGTTGCAATTTCTCCAAAGCTTTTTTTAATACTGATATATATATATGTATATATATATATGTATATATATAATTTTAATTATTTTATAAAAATACGAAATAATGTGTCCCTTTCCTCAATTCTGAATTCCAGGAACCAGTACTGAAAAAAATTACTTTGTAACAAGGAAAAGCAGTGAAAATAAATGGTATTTCCACATTCTCATACCTTTGCTTAAAATCAGAATATTACAATAAAAATAATGCCATTCCAAAGGTGGGAGGGAGAGCTTTCAAAATAAGGCAATATTCAGAAAAAAACCCAAAAATCCAAACAACACAAACAAAAATTAATACTACTCTTCTAAATATATACATACATTATATATATATATATATATATATATATATATATATATATACACACATCTATACACACAATAGTTTTATTGTGATGATGACCTGGTCTGAATAAATCACAAAATATTAAAAATGTAAGGTGACACAAATTTCAGAAGTGCTATGTAAGTAGCACAAGAATTACTTTGAGCAACAAAAAACTAAGTAACTGCACTGCATTAATATCAGATTTATAGATAGAAAACTATTTATGAAAGTTCTTAATGAGCTTTTGTCCACTATTACACTGATCCACTGTCAACCATTTCTGATGACATGACACAAAATGAACTTCCCAACTCACACCCTCTTCTTGTTCAATTCATAGCATTTTTTTTCTATGTGCAAAGACATGAAAATATTCACTAAACTTAGAGTGTTAAGTATGTGTCAGCCTCAGCTATACTGTGTGGATTTATAATTCTCACACTTATCAGAAGAGCCCCTAACATAATACAGAGGCTCCTTCCAATATGAATAACTACATTCTTCATTTTAAAATTAAACATCTATCAAGAAAACAAAAAGTAAATTTAAACAGCACGATTTTCTTGTTTGTGTTTCAGCTTTATCTGTGCTTAATTATGCAGGGTTTTGGGTTTCTCCTTAGTGAATCAAGTCACCAAAACTTAAATAAACTGTCCCCATTCTAATTTTATTAAAAATACTGATTTTAACACTGTGCATGGAATAACAGAAACTTGAGATGCCTGGCCGGATGTACAGAAAAACTAAACAACCAAACCTTGGTACTGGAACTTGGCAGATAAAGGATGTACAAAGGGGGGAAAAAAAAGCACACTGTATTTCAGAGACCTTTCAATTTAAATTTACAATTTCATTAGCCATTCTTCAAAGGAGTTACCAACATGCAACAGTGAACTTGTCAACCACAAGACTCGCAGGCAGGGTTATCTGGTGCTAGGACACCATTATTGCAGCAAGAAAAGGGAGGAGGGGAAAAGAAAAAGAGTAGTTCTGACAACTAAAGAACTCCAATAAAAATCCAGCCTAAATGACTGGAAAGCATCAGTTATTCACTGCCATTTCATCAACCACTAAGATAAGGATTTTAGTCAGTCAACTGAGTGCAACTCTTCTTGAACAATAAAAGCAAATTAACTCCAAAATGTAGCTCAGCTTTTCAAAAATAAAGATGAAACCCTGAAGGTGATTTCCATTCCACCACAATATTTACATAAAGTAGTTTTAATACACACTTACATCTCTAGCTTTCCCATAGAAGGCTTCTTGAAAAGCAGCCTCTAATGATCCAATAAAATAAACAGGATGGCAGTCACCATATCTATTAGAGATAAAATTCGCAATTAAAAAATTAATAAAAAATTACAAAATCAAGTCATTTCAATATTCTATCTTTTCATATATTCTGTAAATATAATGCATTGGCCAAACCTTTAGAAAGATGAAGTATTACATTTCTAAAGGACAGAAAGGAAATATTTAGGACCCATTTGTTTTCTGACATTGAAAAACAAAGTAAAGGACTATTACCTCACAAACTTTATCAGAAAAACATTCTGTTTACACATGTAGATAAATTAAGTTCTACACAATTTCCTATAAAATTTTTCAATCATAATTTATTTCCTCTCTGTATTATATCCTTAAAGGTTAATTGAAAGCTATTCTTGCATTACACATTAATGCATCTCATACACATAAAGGAATATTTCATCACAGGAGTGAAAACAGAAGGCACACAAACTTTGCATTACTTTGCAGCTTCTACCTATTCAATGAAACAAAGCAACTGTTTAACAGTGCATGATTTGGTAGTATAAAGTTTTCTAAAAATTCAGAATTTATATGTTTTTTAAAAGTCTATATTTATCCAACCACTTTGCTATTGTGAAAACTCTTACAGCAGCTATGTAGATATTTTTCAGTATTAATCAGTTTCAGCTTTTCTGTTCCTGCATATTATAATAAAAATTATCATATATAACCAGTCTTTCTCATCCTTCTGGACCTTTACAGAATTAAGTAATGGCACTACATAGTGACAAAATAAATAAGACAAAAATCAACCTCTCCAGCTTGGGCTGAAAAATAATTTTATTTAAGAAGCAGCTCTAGTAGCAGAGTTAGAACTGAAATAAATTAGATTAGGATATCTAAACATGCTATATTCCATTAGGCTGTCTAAATATGCTATAATCTCACAAGAAAACATGTACACTTGGTTTATTTTTATTTTCATTATTTACTAACTTTAACTCAGTTTGTGATAAGAATTGCACAGTTAATAGACTAAGCTTACCTTGAAGAAAACTCTGCTGTAAATTGTAATAAGGCATCTCCTTCATTTTCAGCATTTTCTGGCACTTAAAAAAATGGGAAAAAAAAAAAAAAGAAATGCAACCTTATGGAAACAGGTTGTAATATGCAAACACATTCACTGCACAGATATTTCATGTTCCCAGCTTACTGAAGTGTTACCAAGAGACCACATAAACATCACAAAAGACTAAGAACCTTTCGAAAGACAAGAAATTTCTAGAGGGTCTCACTAATATATTCAGGTTTTCCAAACAGTGAAATCCTCAGGTCCAGTGTAATGTGATATATCACTTGCTCAGAGTCAGCACTTTGGACTTACTTTAAGGCTTGAAAGGCTCGACCTTTAGTTTTTAGTTTTCCAAAATTATTACATATATTTGCTGTCAAAAAACTTCTAATGAAGTAACACTAATGAAAGCCTAAAGTAAATAAAGAGTATGCAAGAATTGCATGTGGGAGATAACTGACTTCTCCTGCTCAATCATTTTCATAATTCAAGGGCAAATAATCACTGAGAAACTTGATTAGTATAATTACTAGAACATTAATAAAAAATAGAATCTGTAGAATTTTCAAAAACAGGGACGTGGAAATCTAGTTATCTATAGGTGCCTTTGGACAGAGATCACAATTTCTTTGACTTTGTTACTCATCAATTTTACTTTAAATTATCATTCTTCAAGGTTAAAAATCCCTCCACAGAAAGGTGCTTTTATCATTGCCAGTTCTGTGTGCAGTATTTTCCTTCGATACATCCATCAGGCAGACATTCAAACAATTCTACCATTCCTACCAAAAGACACTTTCCAGTTTCTAATTCTGCAGACTCCTCACACCTCTCTGCCTTCACCTCTGCTGTACAACCTCCAGTTAATTGAACTCTTACTCATTGGCGATTTCCTCAAGGCAGATGATGCTACTCCAAACATTTCTCCATCATCAACTCCAAACTCAGTAGCATCTTCAAAGTCATCTCCATCACTATCACTAACCATATGAACATCAGTGCACTGCTGTATAAAAACAAAACCCCAAATCCACTGTAAGCTTCTATTTCAGACATTTTCAGTGAAATACAAAATATATACACAGTGGCAAATACTTACAAATTTCTATAACTACATAACACATTGCAGTTTAATTTACTATTTTATACAGCATTATCAAAGGTAATTTTTAACAGAAGTCTGGTGGACAGAAATATTATGTGGTAAAATGCATTATTGAAGAATCTCTGCATACATATAGTTGAGCAAATTTTATCCAAATTTAATATTTTGTTCCATCTAATGGTACCAGAGCTGGTCCAACTGCACAAGAGTGAGAAAAGCCATACAATGGTGGTTCTTATATTGGTATTTGGGATACCAATATAAAGGAGAAAAACCAAAATTATGTCCTTACCTCCTCTGACTGTTCCCTTGTTTGTACAGGTGAAGATCTTCTTCCAACTGTGAGTCGATGGCAAGGAAAAGTCAGTCCTGACACAGCTAAAGTCATCTACAAAGCAAGCAAGAGTTCTTCATTAAAGCCACAGTCTCAATTAAAGCTTAGGGGGGAGAGTTTAAGGTTGTTTAGAGATTCAAATTAAAGACTGTCTTATTTAAACACATATTAAGAAGAAAAACTAAAATGATTCCTTACATTAAAATATTCAAGGAAACATCAACTGAGTTTTACTGAAGTATGTGCACAGAGAATCAAAACAAATTCCATGGAACTGCAAACTCCAAAGTGCCTTGAGTTAACTTTGTCCTGAAGCAGTTGAAGTTTGAAACGTTACCGTACATGGCAGCTTTTACAGTGCTATGCTTTGATGATGTAAACGTAGATTTTTTTTTATTGCTAATCAAGAAGCAATTGTTAAAGATGCTAAGTACTGATACAAGTAATTAAAAACAGCTAAATAATCTTGAAAAAAAATTGTATTTTGAAAGATCTGTTTATCAGCAGACATTGCAATAGACACAATCACATTGGTAACTTAAAAAATACATTTCCTCTCCTTTTTGGTCATTTTAAATGTCAAGGGTGCACACCATGTTCCTCATATGAACAAAGACACACACAACCCAAACTGGTGACACTGCAGTCAGCACAGTCCACAGGATGGATGTTCAGTAGTCAGAGGCAACAGAAACAGCAATTCTGCCCCTTGCTGTATGCCTAAATCACAGTTTTTAAGAATTACCACTAGAAAAATTCTACTGCCGTTTGACAGACCAAATAATTATGATGTCTGCAAACACACAGCAATAATATTTGAAAATCTAGTCCTATATTGCATTTAAAAATGCACTAATTATAATGCTTAAAAATGAGAACTGTCCACTCTGTGACCAGAGCCACCTGTGCCATCCCTGCATTTAAAGCTTCTGCCCATCCTCCTGCCTCTTCTGAAGAGCACATTAGTCCAGGAGAAGTGAGCTTGATGACCACAAACAGTAATTTCAGAAGCATCTAAAACCTATCTGGACTGATTTTACAATGTGAGTAGCTCTTAAATAAAGATAATTTATTATGGTTTTGGCAGTGACAAAGTATTTAACGCTATGCAATTTTCAGTGATGTGAAGAAGGATAGTCCTGATTATGTACTTCAAATATCATTTCTAATGGCTCCTTCAGATGAAACACACAGATGACAGAAAAACACCTAGATCTTGTAAAACTTATTAGTATTTTTGCAGGGCACATAATGAAAGATTTGCATTATACATTTCAGAAATACAGCACTTTCCTAATTGGACTGTAAAAACATTAAGGTAAAATACATTTTAATCATTCTCAACAAAAATCCAAGAATAAATCATAAGACTTAAATTTCATTTACTGCCATGAGCACTGAAAATACCCCATTTATTTTTTATACATAATTCAGAGCGACTTTCTCACTTGTCTGCTAGAACTCACAAAGATTTAATTTGCTGCAGGTTGAAGCAGGCTGATTAAGCAGGCTGGTTACCAAATGAATGTTAACCTGTCTGAACTAGCCTACTGTCACATTCTCACAGCAAGGTTAAACACAAGTTTAGCTGTGTAAAAAGCCCAGCAATCATCTTAAAGGAAGTGAATTATAATACTCTGGAGTAAATGAAATATTAGAGACGACACACAGGTCTAGACCAATTACCTATGAAACTCCTGTGACAAGAGTATAAGAACTGCATTCACAGTAATAATCCACCATTTCAATTATTATTTTTATAAGCTTTTAATAATAAACAAAACCCAACTGTTATAAAACCCGAAACTTTGCCCTGTAGTTATCACACTATATGAAATGCTGGTAAAACACACACACATTAACCACACACAGACTCCAGCTCCCTCTCTCACAGCATTAAATACCCTGACAGATGCCTGGAAAGGCTCCTGGTATCTTTTACATGCACATTAAAGAGAGTGGTAAGATCAAGCAGGCAGTTATTGTGCTGCTTCATCACTTGGCCCAATTGCAGGGTGTTGCAATTCCAATTTGCAACCCTATATTATAGTGTCAAAGCGTCTCTCAAACACGAGCTAACAGCAGAAGGGGTTCCACATCAGAGCCTGTTTCATCCTACTCTCCAGACAGTTGCTGGAATGTTGGGGGTTTGTGCACATTGGTGTGAGAAATCACCCTTCCCTTTGCTTTTTTTTATTTTCTGAGAAATTTTTTTTGCAAAAGAAATAGCAGCTATGCCTTCATTCCAAAATAAATGGGAGGCATTAACATTCTTCTAGAATCAAGTTATCTTCATTCAAAGACAGAGAGTTCTCTTGCAAAGAAAGACTCTTGCACCTCAAAAGCTCAAGCTTTATTTTGGAAATCATAAAAACTCCAAGATTAAGCAAAAGATTCTTTTCCAGGCAGCTCAGCACTGGGAATGCAGGCCAAGGTACTGATGGGAGCACCACTGGAGTGTCTCAGTGGCAAGGACTGTAGATCTCACACTGCTCTTGGAGAGGATTTTCTATGTGAATACTGTGCCTGCCACCTCCCAAACAGAGATGCAGAACATTATCATTGCAATAAATTATCATTGTATTTCAGCCACCTTCCCATGGGAATGAACAAAATCTTTATACCGACCCCATAACTGAAAAAGTTGTTTTTTAGCCTGAGTACCTGACTACCCATATTCTCTACCTTATGATCCCATTTGTCCATGGAAAAAACTCAAAAGCCAGACATTTTTCTGAATTTTTCTTTTTTTGCATGAAAATTACCACTATGTGGGTACCAGAGTAGGATGGTGAATGGGATGGCTTCCAGATGCACAAGAAAACACACTGAAAATACATTTGCAGGACTTGTGCTTGAATGACAAGTTAAATATAGGTTATGAAATAAATAATAAACTAAACCAAAACTAAATCTTTTTTTTGGCAGGTAACCTATGCAAATCAACTGTCTCAGAATCAAAAGGTACGTGAGGTGGAAAGTGAAACATAATCAGAAATAAGGAAAATTACTTGCACAAAGTAACTCCAGAACCAGATCTTTTGTCCAACACTAGACATAAATAAGCTTGTGCTTATTTAAAGTTTAAGTAGTCTCCTATTTGGTTTCCTATAGCTTTTAAGGAGAAGGACAAGAAAATTCAAGATTTCAAACATTTCAGGGAGAGTGGCTGTGGAGAGTCTCCTTTTAGGACACAGCAGAGATACTAAATGGATTCAGTATCTCTGTTATTCAGAAAAGTACAACCTGGACTAAAAGCATACAAAAGAGAAAGCATACTAAGAGAAAGATCACTACAAATTAACAATTTAGAGGGGAAAGAAATAGTCTGGTGCTCACTTGTGCTTTCCAGCTCTAAGACACTAATACTATTTGTAAATGCTCAGTGTGAGATGATTTGTTTTTCAATTGCCAGCATTAGCAATCGAGGGATAAAGTTAAGCAACATCTTTTCTGATCCAAACATGCAGGATTCTTTGTCAACCTTCCAGATTAACCCAGAAATACGTGCCAAATCTGGAGTGAGACCAGATGCTTTAAACAATAAATAATTCTTCATGTTAGAAAGTATTAGTTTTATGTAGAAGCTTCTAGAAATATAATTCAGAAAAATCTAAACCCACTGTTTTTTTGCCAAACATTTCATGATACAAATATGCCTGCAGGAGAGCAAGAAATCATTGAGAGCATGTAATTACAGAGTGCTGCCATCTCATGCTCAGAATACTAAGAAAAATTACAAACCTACATTCTCAAAACCTTGTGTCTTCTAGAAAGAGTTTGTTGGCACAACTTAATTCCCAGTCTTGCAGACTTCTGACATTACAAATGGAGGAACAAACTCAGTCTCTTGTACCTGTCCAGAGATATTTAATCAAGGTGCTGAAGACGTGAGAAAGATAAACAGCAGAAGGAACATGAAGGAACGATACCAGCAGAGAACTCCAGCTGCAGAACTCACTCCACTGAGAAATGCTGATACAAAAATTATAAGCTCGATGGACTGCATCAGGAAAGCAGTAATTGGATATGACAAATTGGCCTTCCTCATGTTCAGCCACACACTGATGGAGAAAAACAGCATCTCAAAAGAGATTTGAATGGCAACCATACCTAATAAGGAAAGTGAAGGAAGTTGTAAGAGTTTTCTAATGCCTTACAGAATACAGCTGGGACACTTAAAGTGTCCAGCTAAAAGCAATAATCTGTAAAGAATGGGACATTCTTCCTCATCCTCAATTATTGAGAGCTTGTGCTGTTCAAAAGATACTTGCTATCAAAGGATCCCACCTCTGCAAAGGGATAAAGCTTTTCATAAACAAGAACTATTCAGAACAAGCAAGTATAATGTTTAAAGAAGGCAGGAATACTGGTTTATTTTGTGCTCTTTGTTAAGCTTTTGATTCTTGCAAGAGCAGTGAGGGTTTTGAGGTTTTGGAGTGTGTGGGCACTCTGATTTGCTTTAATGTACATTAATGCATATATCTGAACATACAGACACTTACCTGGCAATCAGGACAAGTTATTAAATGGAGCCCTTCAGCTGCACTACCCAGTACTTGTCAATTTTTTTAAAAAACAGCTTTTGGCTGTTTAAAAGACCACTGAAAAAGGAGAAATTATCAGTCACTGTAACGAGGTAGTTTTATTGTTCAAACTACTCAAATGACAAATTCTTTCCAACTCACTGGAGAGGTATTTTTCCATGACAAAATATTTTCTAATACTATTTTTTTGGCATAAAGTAGAAATTCTTGATTATTTGTTCTCAGAAATTCAAAGGTCAAGCTGTAAATCTTACAAAGCATCGGACAGAAATTCAGAGAACACTTGATCCATACACAAAGGAGAAGATTCTATCAATGATGCCAGATTTCACTTACACACACACAGCAAGTGAAGCAACAGGCATTATCTGACAATGGCAAGCCAAAACGAAAACCTTGCAGTGGACAAACCTTCTGGATTTTTAATATAAAAAGATCCTAACAAGAAATGCAATTTCTGTGTAATTTCACTTTCACTGCTATGAAACAGTCCAATTATTCAAGTAG